ACCAGGCCGAGCACAGCATGCCACCGCCAGGCTCGCGGGCACGGCCCTGCACGGCGCACCCGCCGCGTGCCAGAGCCCGGGCGCGGCACGACGCAGCTCATCCTTCGCATTCCAGATCCCAGGCGCGGCACGGCACGCGGGCACGGCACGGCACGGCACGGCACATCCATCGTACTCTCGAGGTTGGGCACGACGCTCGCGGCACACTTTTTCGCAGTCTAGTAGTGCGCGGGCACGGCACACTTCTTGGCATGGTCGAACCTGGGCGCGCGCCACGCCGCACGCGGCACCCGGCACGCGGGCACGGCACGGCACACATCTCCCAGTCCAGAACCAAGGCAAGGCACAGAACGGCATGCGGTCACTCTGCTCCCATTCTAGACCTTCGGGGCGACACGGCGCGGCACCGCACGCCGGCACGGCATGGCACGGCACTTTTCTCGCATTCCATACTATGTGGGCGCGGCACCGCGCGGCACGGCATGGCACATGTTTTCGCATGCCAGTGCCTATAGCACGGCATTGCGCGCGGGCACAGCGCGGCACGTCGCCGCACGGCGCGCGTTTTCGCTTTATAGAACTCAGGCATCTCACGACACGGCACTTTGGCGGCAGAGTTTTCGAATCCTGTGTCGTAGAAGATGGTCTTGCAGTGTTCTTCAGACCCTTCGCAGCATTCACTGTTTAGGGAACTACTCAACACAGACCACTCGAAGGGACTTGATGACACTCCACGCCGTGCCTACTGCACGGTGACGGATAAGTAGAAGGATGAATGGCGTATAGTTTCCAAAACGAGGCTCTCGTTTCAATTGAAGCACCGCTGTCCCATCCCAGGTTGGTTTTGGCGGTCCTTCCCCTCCTCCCTCCTCTTCCTACCTCCTTTTCCTCATCCTCCTCCCCCTTCCTCCGTTTCACTTACCCTTCTTTTCTTCTTCCTCCCTCCTCCTCCTGCTCGTCGGCGTCGTCGTCCTCCCCCTCCCCTCCTCCATCACTTCTCCTTCCAAAGAGTCAACCCCTCCCTGTCGCCCTCCCAGATGTGACGGTAGGGCGGGCCGAGCGTTTCGCTTGAGATTGTCTCACCTCTCATGACCTTGACATCTTTGAGAGAGCACCAGCGTCACGGACGGAGGGCGGGTGGTTTTCGCCACCTCGCCACGGCGCACTCCTCTGAGAGTTCGCAACAGCTTCACGGGTGGAGGACGGTTGGTTGTCTTCAGAATATGGCGCTCGCCTGAGCGCCGCGCACACTCGTCCTGCAAGCCGCGCACCGGCTTCAAGGATGGGGGGCAGCTCCTTTTCAACACGTGGCTCTCGCACTGGCGCCGCACGCATCCGTTTTAGCTGTTCGCGGCAGCTTCCAAGGTTACGATCACACGAATGAGTGTTCCGCAATGCTTCAGGACAGTCAGGACGCAAAAGTCACGTGGATTCGCGGTGTTGAAGTCCCAAACATGGTCCTCTGGCTCGCCTTCGGCTGGTCAGGACGCAACAGTCGGATTGATCCGCGACAACGATGTCCCAGGAATGGTGCTTTTCAACGATGGCGGAGTCTCAGACGTTTGTTTTTCAATGGGGCACTTCCCGCAGTGAAAACAAATCCTTGTAGGGACCTTTGAAGAGGGAAGCTGGAGGCAGGGTTCATTGCAACATCGTCGATCCGTCTTGGGTTTGCACTGGTCCTCCTCATCCTCCCCCTCGACTTGTTTGACCTCGCTGCCGATGCTTGCTGTTTTCTCAACTGTTTCTCCTCCACGCGCCTCTCGCGCCGACGCCGGCGATTTGTGTACAGCGGCTTCCACAGACGGTGGCCCGCCGCTGGCCCGCCGCCAGCGCCTCCCCCGAGCCCGAGGGTTGTGGAGCGGGGTGTGACGAACTCATCCTCCACGCCGTGCTCTTCCTCCTCCTCCTCCTCCTCCTCCTCCTCCTCCTCCTCCTCCTCCTCCTCCTCCTCCTCCTCCTCCTCCTCTTGCTCCTCCTCCTCCTCCTCCTCCTCCTCCTCCTCTCCTCCTCCTCCTCCTCCTCCTCCTCCTCCTCCTCCTCATCATCATCATCATCATCATCCCTCCTCCTCGGGTACGCACTCAGCGAAGCTGCGCGTCGCATCATCCCAACCCCTCCTCCGCCCTCCGCCTCCTCCTCCTCCTCCTCCTGATCATCCTTCCTCCTCCTCCTCCTCCTCCTCCTCCTCCTCCTCCTCCTCCTCCTCCTCCTCGAGGGTCAGGGCCAGGCAGTCCGCGCTGGGGCACAGCCACGCGCCTGCTCGAGGCGCCACGTGCACCCCGTCCACGCGCACAAGGCGCGCTGCGCCCGGGCCGGCGCTCGCTGGGGATGGCGGGGCGCGGCGGTTTCGACTCCTTCGACAATCCGGCCACGCCGGGGCCGCCGCCGCCGTCGCCAGAGGAGGAGGAGGAGGAGGAGGAGGAGGAGGAGGAGGAGGAGGAGGAGGAGGAGGAGGAGGAGCCAGGCTGCGGGTGGATCCCGTAGAGCCGGCGGGTCCGCCATGGCCGCGGGCGGCAGCAGCAGCAGCAGCAGCAGCAGCAGCAGCAGCAGCAGGAGCAGGAGGAGGAGGAGGAGGAGGAGGAGGGGGGGGTCAGGAGGAGGAGGAGGAGGAGGAGGAGGAGGAGGAGGAGGACCACCGCCTCCAATTGCTGAAAGCTCGCAGCGGCAGGTGTTTAACGATTCTCGGCTCTTTGGGCATTTCGAAAGCACCACAATATGGATTCCACTGTAAAGCCTCACAACAGGAATCGGTTGTAAAGCACCACTAAGAGATTCCATTAGAAAGCCTCACGACAGGAATCTTTTGGAAATCAGCGCAAAGAAGTTCTATGAACAATCCTCACAATCGGAAGCCCTTGGGAAGCACCACGAAGGGATTTCATTGGAAAGCCTCACAACAGGAAATCTCTGGAAAGCACAAAGGGATTCGATTGGAATGCCTCACGACAGGAATCTTTTGGAAAACCCCACCACGTGATTTCATTAGAAATCCTCTCGATCGGAATCTCTGGGAAAAGTGCCACAAAAGGACAGTGAGAAGAGAAAGAGAATGAGGAAGGTTGAGGAGAACGAGGGTAATGGGGATAATGTGGAGGAGAAATGGAAAGATGAGGAGAATGAGGAGGAGAATGCGAGCATACAGATATTCGTATCCATATCCATATTCACCGTAATCCGAGGTCCCAAACTCTGATTTCCTGGGCGGTGGTTGCGGGTAAATCCCCGCCTTGCATCTTCGGCCTGTTGGGAGAGAAGAAGAGTATCTCTAGGCCTGCCTGATGGGGTCGGAGTAGATGGGGTCGGAGGATCGCGCCGCATCGCCGATGCATCGACGATGCGGCTCTATGCGGGGCCCGATCTTCTCCACGCCGACGTCGCCCAAGCGTCGCCGACGTGGGCGATGCATCGACGCTGCATCGCCGATGCATTGGCAACGCGTCGCGATCCTTCGACCTCTCCTGCTCGGACCCCATCCAGGATCGGCGGCGGGCGCGGGGGGGAAATGAGAAGGGGCGGGACTTCCGAGGCTTCTGAGAAGTTTCTGGACTTCTGAGAGGGCTTCTGAGAAGTTCTGTCTCTGTATTCGAAATAGGCCAAGGAAACGTCTCAGAAGCCCCCTGGACTTCTAAGAAGTCCCGCGGCCTTCTGAGAAGGCCTTCTCCTTCTCATTTCCCCCCTGGGCTCGTCGCCTACAGGAGGCCTGTGGCATCAGCGACACGCCGCCGCCGGGAGCCCGCCGGCCCGCCACTCCCTGCGCCCCTGGCCGGCGACGCGGCGTTTTTCCTCGAAAACCGCAGCACGCGGGTGGGCCCCCCACGGCGGCGTGCCACTGATGCTGCTTCTATCGGACGGGGCCGGGGCGAGGACCTCCTCCTCCTCCTCCTCCTCCTCCTCCTCCTCCTCCTCCTCCTCCTCCCCTCCTCCTCCTCCTCCTCCTCCTCCTCCTCCTCCTCCTCCTCCTCAGGTCCGTTCTTTAACAGTTTTTACGCCGGTTGGGCTTGCATCCAGAGCTGACAGCAGAGGATATCGGTCCTGTCCGCTTCGTCCCCTCTGCTTTCCTCCTCCTTCTCCCAAAAGTGCGCTGGAAACAAAAATAAAAAGAGCGTTCAGGGTTGGCCTGGGCGGTACTGCGGATCAGCAGCTCCGCCCGTAGTGGAGATGTGGCAGTTCCACTCCCGCCCCCTTCCGCTCGCCCCCATCCGCCGTCGCCGCCGGTCCAATCGCGACCGCGAGATCGCCGTCGTCGCAACGCGTGCAGCCAGGGAAAGCGCAGAAACAGGAAGCAACGCCACCGGCCGGAACGTTCTCCGAAGCGTCCCGGGACGCTCTGAGAAGGCCGCGGCGCCCGAGACATCCTCCAGAGCCGCCGGATCTCAGAGATCCTCGGTGTAATGGAGGATGACGATTAATAAATGACCGGGGTCGTGTTCACGCGGCGGCGCCCGGGATGACGATTAGAAAAAACCGGCCGCGGGCTGGAAAACTATTTTCTAAATCGTTCTCCTCCAGTCAGGAAATTGTGCAGAACTAGCAGAAAACTGTGTTTTTAATCGTTCTCTCCCGTTTTTTAATAATCGTCATCCCGCATTATCCCCACCCGAACCCTCATCCTCGTCCTGGCTTCGTGCTGTGTTCTTGCTCCCGCGGCCTCTCCGTGCCCGTGGGACCCCCGTGCGCTCTCCGTGCCCGCTGCACTCTCCGTGCCCCCCGAGGCGAAGCGCGCCCGCCTCGACGGCTGCACCAGTGACGTCCAGGCCTGGCGGCTGGCGCAGACGGGGGGCAGGGCTCTCGCGCGTCGCCTGTCGGAGGGGGAGAAGGGGGAAAAGGTGCCCATGCCTCCAGGGTTCCCTCGTTTTCCCCTCGTTGGGGCCTCCTGGGGGGCCCTCGTCGCCACCATTGGATTCTCCCCGAAATTCTAGTCAGAACGCTCCCCGGAAGAAGTCCGGGGAGCAGCGGTATCAGTACCTTTTCGTTTCCGTAGCCATTTTGGCTCAAGGGGTCTGGGCACTCACATCTCATTAACCTACTCTTTCACTCACCTCTGACATCTCGCCACGTTATCTTCAATTCTTTGTGCCCTGCCAGGCTCAGCATGGTGTTTCCAGATGTCCCCCCCGCAGGCTGGACCAGGGCATTCGGCGAGATTGTTCAGCAGCAGTTGGCTCCGGTTGTCACTCGAGTGGACTCTCTGGAGACATCGATGCACAGCGTGGAGCAGAGTGTCACGAACCTGGAGGCAAGGCAGGCGACCACCACGAGCTCGACCAAGCACGTGCCGGCGTACGTGGACATCAAGGGCTTCTGCGAGTACGAGAAGCGGCACAATGAGGGCGTCACTCGGGAGTTGGCAGCCGCTTTCTTCCAGCGCTTGAAGGCGACACCTCCCGCTGATGCTCAGGAAAGCCTTGGGGTCCCCCGCCTTCCAGTCGAGCAGAAGACGCACTCCATCCGCATCCCCATCCTGAAGCCAGAGTTCATTCAGACCATCATGGACTGCTTCCGGCACGGGCCCACTCAGCAGGAGAACGTGTGGGCTATCCAGGGCGGGGAGAGTCGTTCGTTACGAGCCGTGCTGGAGCCAGAACCTGCAGGTAAGAAGCTGTACTCTGCGTTTGGACGCCTGAAGAACTATGCCCAGGCCCAGCTCCCCGCGCAGGCCCCCTACATGGTTCGCGACTTCTTTCGCCATCTACCTCGAGCCCTTGGACGTCCAGGCACCCGCCATCCTTCTTGCGGGTATGACGGAATCCGGGACGGCCCAGTGGCACATGGAGGGGTTGCATCCTCGGGGTCGACACCATTGCGAAAACTAATTTGGGCTTGTTCTCCCTTGGGCGGGCCCGTGGCTCCCGTTGATGGGGCCCACCCAGATGGGCGGCAGGCATCGACCATGGAGAGTTTTTCCGTTATTTCATGGAACCACGGCCAGGATACCCTATCGAGCGCTGAGTCTTTTTGGACAGGCTGGTAAGGCGATGAGCATAGGTTCTGTTGCCATGTGTCTGCAAGAGGTTCCCAATCTACTCCATGGCCGATTGTGGACAAAGGCGTATTCTACGGCGGTCGCCAAAACACGTCGACCCTTGCTGGGCAAGATGTTTTAGCGTGCGCGTGTGGAATTGTTATTCCTACTTCCTTTACTTCCTTCGTCGTCGATTTCGTGTATGGCAGTCATTGGCGCGCATTGTTATTTCAAGGTGATTTGGTATTTGTGTCTGCACACATTCTTTGGGGGGAGCAATATAATTCAGACGACGTCATGGGCGGTGTCTGTGATGCTCTTCGACGCTTCCGTCGCAAGTTTAGTTCTCTCCATATTGTTGCCAGGGTTGATGCTAATACGACTCTGCCCGGGGACGTCGAGAGCTTGACGGGCAGCTCCGTTTTTCGACCGCTTCAGTCGCATAGTTGGGGATGGAGGTACAAAGTGTTGGAATGGATGCGTGCTCTCGGAGTTCGTGCCCTGAACACCTTCGGCCATGGCCCTGGGAACTGGACTTGTAGTAGGTTCCGGGCGCAAGGCCGGAAGCCGATGATCGATTACGTCGGCGTGTCCAGTGGTCTCGAGGGTGTTGTCGATGTGTTGTCGGAGGATTTTGAGGGCATGGGTCGGGCAGATCATCGTCCTCTGTGGGGTGAGTTCCGTCTGCGTTCTGATCCTCACGCACACGTTCATGCGCGACCTCAGCGCCGCTTCAATCTTCACGGTTGGGCACCGAGGACTTCGGAGGAGGATGATAAGTTCCGGGAGTCATCTTTGCAGCTTCTGGACGTTCCGTTGTAAGAGCTTGAACGATCAGCGCTCCGGCTTGCAACATCTATCGACTACACATCCTCGGTGGTGCAATGGCTTGAAGACCAGCGTCTTGGGCGAGAACTTCGCGACAGTGGTCAGCAGCGTGAACGTTGTGACCATTTTCGCGAAGCGAAGGCTGCGAAGCGGAAGCAACGCAAGAGGATCCTGAACAAACGGCTGCAGACTATGGCGCGGCGCGACTTCCAGCGCGTACATATTACCCACATGCGTATTGATGGGAATATGTCTTACGATCGTGAGTTGTTGTCATAACGTTGCCCTTCATTTGGCCAGGCTCGTTTTGGTTGTGAAGCGTACGATCCTTCGACACGGGAGGAACGTTTCCAACGCTTCGCCGCACTCGCCCGAAATCACATGCCCGACGGCAAAGCTTACAAGCCTACGCTATGGGACGTCTTGCAGGCAGAGCTCAGTTCGGCGGCGGCGCTGCTGGTCCTGATCTCGTTCCTCCGGAGGTTTGGCGTCGTTTGCCGTTTCAGGCTGTTCTCCACGTTCATGTTTTGTTTTGCGATTACGCCGTGCTCCGACCATGGGCCGTGTCCCCGGAATCCTGTAAACAGATTTTGTTCAACGGCATTGCGAAGGAGAAAAAGTTGGCAGAACTCTTCGACCAATTACGCTGGATTGTATTGGCGTCTACATTGCGAAAGTGGTTCCTGCGTTCAAGTCGCCCGGAGCTGCGACGACAGGTGCTTCCATCGCACGTCCACGCATGTGGCTTCAAACCACATCGAAGCTTATCAGACGTGGTGGCGGTGATCTGGGAGCGCATCCACTTGGCAATTGTTTGGGGCCTCCCTCTGTACATCGCCGCCCAGGATGTTCTCGCAGCGTTTAACCCTCTCGACCACGCTTGTATGTTCCGCGCCTTCGAGCAGCGAGGAGTCAGCAGCCTGCTGTTGGCCGTGTTTTCCAGGGGGCTCTCCGGTTTGAGCGGTTCCATGGCAGTCCGGGGGGCTTGCGCAACGGAGTCTTTCGAGTTCAACCCTGGAGGTCGGCAAGAGGGCGTGGAGATACCAGATTCGTTCAATTTGTACGTGGAGGCCGCCCTGGAGGACGTCGTTGCGGCCTCGCGCCAGAAAAGGTTGGGGTTTTGCGATTGACGGCGTAGTGGTCAGCCATGCGATCTGGGCGGACAACGTCTTCACCCTTGCAGGCTGCCTGGCCCAACTCCGCAAGATGGCGCAGGAGCTCGCGGATGCTGTGGCCGCCGCCCTCCTTAGTTCGAGGCCGTCCTTGTTGGAAGTGATGGCCTGCGGGGGCACGACGCTTCCAGTGACTGACCTTCGTGTTTTCAACAGCGGGCAGCTGCGCGATTATGTCGGCGTGGATTGCATGATGGCCCTGGGAGTCGCGCTCGACTCACGTGGAAGCAATGCCGAGAGCTTCGAGCGCTGGCGCCAGAAAGCAGACGGCAAGTTCTACTCCAATATTGGCATTATCCGGTCTCGCGGCGGCTTGCAACAACGTCTCCGGGCGTGGGTGCAGTCTCCGGGGACGTCGGCAACGATGGGGGCCGATACGCTTCACATGTCCAGCGGCCTCCCCCATGCAGCCCGCACTTGGGAGCTGAAGCGCGCGCGGAACTTGTTGCGATTGAAGCGCAGGCCAGAAGAGGGGTCGATGGAGTTCAATACCCGAACAGCTGCCAAGATCAGCTCGTGGTTCGGATTCTTCCATGTACAACCCATCCACGCACGCATTCTCAAGGCAGCGTTCAAGGCGGCATGGCGGGAGTCGCGGCTCCGAGCTGGGAACAACGCGCCCCCTCTACAGGACCTCCGTTCTGCACGTTCGGCGCTCTGGTGGGGCCCTATCAAAGATGAGCCTGCTGCCGAACGGCGCCGCGAGGGACTCGTGCAAGCATCTAAAGGCCACGTCGCTGCATGGGAAGATTGTTTCGTGGTCGTATACGGGGAGGATCGGCGCTCCTTTCGTGACTCCCACAGCTGTCTGGCCGGGTGGATGGTCAACTGCGACGCTTTTGCTCGGCGCCTGTCTGAGCGTCGGCATTTGCCGCCCCCGCTGGAAACCATGTCGGCGGTGAAATGGGCGCCTCTGAGCGTAGATTTTGAGTTAGATATTGCAGACACGCCGCCAGTCGCCTTGCCGGAGTGGTGCCGCTTCGGCGAGGCGGGCAAGCGCATCGTCTTCCTCGTGGACTGCCAGTCGGTGGCCCGGCTGGCGAACGGCGAGATGGAGCTCGCGGATGACACCTACACGCTGGTTTTCAATCGCATCAGTAATCTTCAACATTCCTTGTCCCGTCTCGGTTGGTGCCCTCAGCGGGATCATGAATATTTTGCGGAGTGGGTCCCGAGGGGGTGGAACAAAGCAGCGGGCCATCTTGCGAACGTGGCGCCGCGCGACCGGGGCGCCGTGCTTTGGCGCGGGGGGGGCGAGGACGCGTTGATCTAACATGTTGTGGTCACCCGTGACGGAGGTCACCGCAGCGGTCGCGGATCTGCTGCTTGGACCGTGCACGCGGTGACCGGGCAAACGCTCGACTTTGCAGGCTTGGGCTATGCATGCATGGGTCGGTTTTCTTGTCACGAGTTTTGGATCGACTACGCCTCCTCTCTCGCTGAGCGGGCGCGGGCCAGTTTTCATCTTAAGTAGCAAGAAAGAAAGAAAAGCCATGTGGGCTCCAGGGAGCAGTTGAATCCCTGATTTGCAATTGTCTGAAGCCGGCCCAGCCCAGCAACATGTGGCCACGCGCAAGGATATAATATAATAGAATCCTGTCCGTGGCCGTTTTGGCTCGAGCTGGAACCGCGGGGCCCCGGCGCCGGCAGCTCGGGCGCGGCCGAGGGGCTGGCCCGAGGCCCGCTGCGCCAGCAGGGCTTCCGCGCAGCCCCGATCCTCGCAGGCAGGCTGCCCGCCCACTGCGAGTTCGCGCTGCTGCGGAGGCGGGGCGGGGCGCGGTTGTGCACGGAGTTCGGGCTCACATAAGCCCATGGTTTTTGTTTGCGTCCCCTCCGAACCTGAGAGGATTGACCCCGGGGCCCTTGGGCGGAGCTTCACTCTCTTGTTACTTCATGGGCGCTGGGCGAACAATCCTGCAGAGGCAGGACAGACCATGTCGCGATTCGCGCCAACCACTCCTGTCATATTGGGCGTCTGGGGCAACAGGGGCGCACTCGCGGCCTGAGCTCCATCGGCAGCAGCGCAGTAGACCCCCATGGTCCGGCCAGGGTCCGGATGGGAGGACTCCCGTCTCGGCTGTTAGCTACAGCTATGAACGCCCATGCGGCCAAAGTCATCAACAGCTTTGATCGGTGCATGGCCAACTGCGCGGGGACGAGGTGCCACAACAAAACAGCAGCTACTCCGTCACATTGGGCTTCGCGTAGCACGCGAAGGCCTTCTTCGAAAGCAAAGAGACGCGGGGCTCGCACTGGCATGGTAAGCGTGGGCGACGTCATGACGTGCGGGCGAGGATTGACACTCCTCGTGCCGCGCAGAAGAAAAGCTCAGCGAATCGCATCAGCACCTAGTGTTTTAACACGAAGGGGCCTGGAAGCAACTCCCACAAACGCGTTCTGATGTTTGGCAGCGTAAGAGGACGTGCATGGGCGATCCACGTTCAGCAAGGGCCCCCCCCCGCGAGCATATCGAACTGGAGCCAGACGTTTTCGCCCTCAACATGGCCAATAATTCGCAGGCCCAGACCGCGGCGATAATCGGCCTCGCAGTGAGGTAGGGGACCTGACTACGCCGCGCAGGCCAACCAGTGTTTCTGCCAGTGATGAGATATGTATTTCAGATTTCCACAGCCGAGTTACCGTCTCTTCCTCTCTGCCCCCTTCGACGAGTCAGAGGGCCATAGCGAGAGCAACCTCATTGAGTATGATCTCAGCCAGCGTCCGCTGATGTCCTCGTCTCCATCCTCAGCGACGGCGTCGTGCTCTCCACATTTGTTCGACATGCGCGGTTTGACGCGCGCGTTTTTGACAACGCGGGGCTCTTTCAGCGTGACGAGTTTCTTCGGGGAGGCTCGTGC